ATTTTTTTATTTAAACAAACAAACATAAATAAATGTAAATATGAATGAATCAATGAATAAATTAATGAATGATTCAATTAATAAATAATTAAATAGGCATGTGTGCTGAACCTGAACAATGAGGTCCTATTAGAACAGCAGGGGTGTGTATGTGTGTGTGTGATGTAAACTTCTCTCTGTGAACAATGTGCCACTGTTATGAATAGTCAGTACATGGTGATGTAACTTTGTGTGTGTGTGGGTGGTGTTGAGTGTCCATCTGAATGTGGGAACATTTTACTGCTCCTACAATGGGTTGCAAAAATATTCTTTCCCTTGAAACAAGTAAAGATCAGAAATAAAGTTGTGGAGAAGTACAGATCAGGGTTGATTTATATATTCATATATTGTATCCCAAAACAGACCCAAAAAACCTCCATCTAGAGTAGATGTTTTACAAGCCAAGTACTATCCACAGTACAGACGTATTAAAGCTGATGCTGTTTGTATGAAATCCAGAGAAAACACAGTCCAAACTGCATGTGTTTAAGGCAAACTAATCCTATTGTCAACTTGTTTTAAAAGTTTAATATCAAGTTTGAACATTTCTAAGCTTCTTTCGCCTTTAGATTCGATGTTACACAGCAAACATCCTGGGCTACAACACCCAAACATCCACGTCTAACTAACCATGCCGGTCATTTTAATTTTATTTTTTTCATAATTATTCACACATCTTCATTATCATCAATCTGCCTGGGACAGCAGCTAAAATTAACATTGTGACTAAATCTGGCACATTTTCAGAGTAAGATAAGAAAGAACTTTATTGATCCCGCAGGAAACTGTTGCACCAGAGTTTCAGTACAAAAGAACACACACAAGGAATCACACAAGATATAAAAAATAACAGAGAATTTAAAAAAATAACAGAGAATATTTAAAAAAAACTGAGAATATAAAAAGAAAAACAGAGAACATAAAAAATAACAGAAAATATAAAAATACCAGCAATTAAGTTCTAAAACAGGTCCGGTGCAGACAGAAACAATAAAGTGTTTATTGTGGTGCAGGACTAATTTTATTATCCTGTGTGTAGAACGGGGGAGGAGTTGAAAAGTTTGATAGCCGCAGGGAGGAAGGACTTCCTGTAGCGTTCTGTGGAGCACCTTGGTGGTCTCAGTCTAGGACTGAAGGTGCTGTGGTAAGAGTCCAGTGTGTCCTGCAGGGGGTGTGACGTGTTGTTCAGGATTTGGAGCAGTTTCCTCAGCATCCTCTGCTCAGACACCTCTGTCAGAGACTGCAGCTCCACATCCAGAACAGACTCAGCTCTCTTGATGAGTTTATCAAGTCTGTTGGCATCAGCTTTCTTCACCCTGCTGCTCCAGCACACCACAGTGTAGAAGAAGACACTGGAGACCACCGAGTGGTAAAACATCTGCAGCATGGTCCTGCAGATGTTAAAGGACCTGAGTCTCCTCAGAAGAAAAAGAAGACTCTGCCCTTTATTGTAGAGAGCGTTGGTGTTAGCTGTCCAGTCCAGTTCATTGGCTAGGTGGACCCCCTGGTACTTGTAGCAGTCCACAGTGTCCACCTTAGTACCCCTGATGTTGATAGGGTTGGGGGGAGGGGGGGCTGATCTTCTTCCTGTAGTCCACCTGCAGTTCTTTAGTTTGTCCAACGTTGAGTTGGTTCTGTCCACACCACTCCACAAAGCTGTCCACCACACCTCTGTATTCAGCTTCCTGGTCACCAGTGAGTGATGCAGCCCACATGTCAGAGTCATCTGAGAACGTCTACAGATGGCAGGACTGTGGGTTGTACCTGAAGTCCAAGGTGTAGAGACTGAACAGAAACAGCAAGAGGACCGTCTCTGAGGAGCCCCTGTGCTGCTCAGTATGGTGTCCAAGGTGGTGTTCTGCAGCCTCATATACTGTGGTCGACCTGTGAGTTAGTCTCTGATCCAGGTGACCAGCGTGTCATTCACCTGCATGTCCAAGAGCTTACTGCAGAGTAGAGCAGGTCTTATGATGTTAAAACACTGGAAAACTCAAAGAACATGACTCTTCTAGTGCTGCCTGCCCTGTCCAGGTGTGTGTAGGCTCTGTGCAGCAGGTAGATTATGGCATCATCAACTCCAAGTGGCTGGTATGCGAACAGTAGGGGGTCCAGGTATGGTTCCACCACTGATCAGACATGCTTCAGGTCCAGCCTCTCCAGTGACTTCATGGCATGTGATGTCAAGGCCACAGGTCTGTAGTCACTGTGTGAGTTTGGGTGGTTATTTTTCCGCACTGGGACCAGGCACGTTGTTTTCCACAGAGCAGGAACCACCCTCATGATCAGGCTCAGGTGAAAAATGTGCTGGAAAACACCACACAGCTGAGCTGCACATCCTTTCAGGAGTTTGTGGCTTAATCCATCTGGACCTGCAGACTTGCCTGGACGTATTGATAAACCCCATGTTTATCAATGTGCACTTTCATTTTGAATGAATACCTTTATTATTATTACAATAATACTATTATATTATTTTGAAAGTGTACGCCAGTTGATTAAATCATCAATGTTGGTGGCTGTCATGATGGATACATGGCAGGCTGAGGTAAGTATGAAGAGAGCTGTAGCAGAAGTCTTCTTATTGTACCCTGAAAGTCTGAGAGCACAGTACCCAAAGCTGCAAAAGTACAATTTAGCTACAATATAAATGTACCTGAACCTTTGGGAACTGTGTGTTTAGGAACTATACTTTGGGGAAATCTATGAGTGACTAAGCTAGTGGCTCTGTAAAATACAATAGCACTTGTGCCAACAATAGAAGAATGTTTTGCAAATTGTTCAATACAAAACTGTTCTGTTTGAAACATAGAAGGTCAAAAAGAGGTCACAGTAATTTCTTCTTCCTCTGTTGTATTGATAGCCTGCACAGTGGGGCAGCTGGTTGGCACTGCCACCTCACAACCACAAGGCCCTGAGCTCAAACTTCAGCTGGGGCTGTGCTTTGCATTTACATGTTATCTCTGTGCATATGTGGCTTTTCTCTGGTTACTCTGGTTTCCTCTTTAGACGTATTAGGAATGAGAATCAAGAATCTTATTAAATTTGCGTCAGTGCTAACAAAAAACTTTCGTCTTTATACCCATATAGAAACCACAACTGTTGGACTTAATACCTGGACCTGGTTTTGAATTTACCCCCAGTAACAAGCAGAGGACAGATTGTGAGTGCTTTGTGAGGCGCTGTACTGCTTACACTGGCACTGGGTTGCCCTTGGCCTCACACTCAATGATGATGTTATCTCTGGGGTCAACAATATAGTCCTTCACTGATTGTTTCATTATAGTAGGGGGCTGCTTCACTGTGGGGGGAGAAGAAAAGAGGAGGTTATAGACACAACATTCTATTACAGAGGCTTGATCCTGAACAGCTAAATTGGCTTAAATACTATTTTTCTGTCACTTTTTGTTAACGTAAAGGACGATGCTCTGAATACATCGTGCAGTTCCTCTGGGTTTGGTTCTTTACAGTATGTACTTTGTGGATTTAATTGTGGCAGCTATAGTTCAATAGGCAGAGCTGTTATCCACCAACAAGGACTCTACATAAAAAGGAGAAGATAAACATCCATTGGTCGCAGGTTTGCCCATGAACTTCTTGCCATCAGGCAATCGCTCTAACCACTGTACTGTCCATATCATCCTCTGATGATATTACTATTATCCACATAATCTTCTCAATCTAATCAACTCATTAGACTACTAGCAGGTAGCAAATCAATCTAGCTCCCCTTCCTCCTGAGAGTTGTTAGTCATTAACTTGGTCAGCCTGTGAGATGTTTGTTCAGAATCATTAGCGTATGAACTAGAATGAAACTGACTTAAGGCTGAGTTATACTCTGCAAGACATGAGAACTTATTGACGTAGTTCCGTGAAGAAAACTGTCACTTTGATCTTACAGAAAATGTGAAAACTCGTTTTGTGAACAAGCTCCTGGCATAATTTTGCCATTTTGTGCGATTGGTCAGAACTTCATGGGCGTGTTTATGTGGAAAAGTGGGTGAACTACATTGATCTGCTGATGATCAGCTGGCCTCAGACAGCTGATCTATTCTAAAGCCCCCAGTATACTCCCGGGTACGTCCGTTCACGCGTACTTACGCGTGTACTGTACGCAGAGGGTTCAGACTTCAGACTCCAGCGTACACCCCAAGCAGCTGCAGAGCAGTTTCATAGACAAGGGGCGTTTACCTTCGGGACAAATTGAGGTCGCCGATTGGTCATTTGCTGACACGCCTATTGGATTGATTGACAGGTCGGGGGAAAAAAAATAGCGCTGGCAGCCTCAGCCAAAGCGGTGTTCTGTGTTTATGTGTTGTTAATAAAAAGATCTTAAAAAAAAAAAAAAAAAAAAAAACAGGGAGCGCTGGCTCTGCAGCCCACACATCAGACCAGCCCACCAGGAAATCTCCAGACCCTCCCACAGCCACGCTGGACCTGAGTTTAATTCGCTCGTGACAAATTCCTTAATTTCTCACCATTTCAGTCATGGCATCAACGGAGGAGGAAGAGATCTCTGCCTCTTGGCAAAAAAACAAAACAAAAGAAAAGGTCAGATCAGGGATGAAGAAGGGGAATTTAATACATTGGTGTCGCATACAAAACAGTCCGTCACTGGGCAGTTTATTGTGCGACACCGCGTACGCGGTCGTAAAAATTGAGCTTTGCATGGACATGCCCTGGGGGGTACGCTCATACCTCTGCGTACGTACGTGCGTACCTCTGCATATGGACGTACGCAGGAGTATACTGGGGGCTTAAAGTTCATCCATGTGCATGGAGGAGATGCAAGCTGTGCTGGCTTAGAGGGAGCCCAGCAGCAAAGGAACACACTCCCTACATTTGCCTCTTATTGTGCACTTTCCGTGACAAGTTTAAAAATGTGTGCTTCTGCTAGATGAATAACAAAAATACAAGATCTTCCTCCTCTAACTCCATCATCAACTGAAAACAAGCATCCATCTCTGCCAACCATGCTTGTGCTGTTTCTCTTCGTGTGACCTGTGCTGCAGTGGATTTACCTGGAGTTCAGTTTCTATTTGAGAATAAAATGTCCATGCAAAAACAAAACCCAATAAGATAAAATACTTACGGTTTTGCAGAATCTTTGCTGTTAGTCAGACATAAGGCAAAAGAGAGACAAGAAGAAGGATGGACACACAGTGATGTGTGGTTGTTAATAATGTTAGAGACATTTCCTTTACTGCAGCATGTTATACATTCATTATATTCAGAAAGTTAATACAGTACAGCTTAGTGGTTCCCAGCTGATCCACTCGCTTCACTCTAACAGGGTCAAAAACAGATAATTAAAGCTGCAAGCAGCATTGGAGGCTCTCGCAGCAAAGCGCCGCTCCGACCTTATGGCGATCGCGAGAGCTCCAGCTAGTCCACCCAGTCGCCACTGCGAACGTTCTCGTGCCAATCCCGCATGGATCAGATCGAATGATGTATCACGGAGATATAACTGTAGGAATACTATAGGGGGGGCGCTGTGGAGGCTATTGGCCACTAATCATGGATTCCTGTTCAAAGGGGGGATAATGATCGATCATACTGATTTTGGTGCACCTCGGTTCAAATCTGTGGAATTTATAGCCAAACGTATTGCAACGGTGTCACTTCTGAATTCGCCACGCTGCCACACCGCCACGCCCACATCCGCCTTCAAAAACTGTTTGTAATTTAAAGTAAGTCAGACTAACTTGTTATATGTCTTCTTTCACAGGATCATCCTGATTAGGTCATGGGTGTCAGAGAGGGAGCATTCCAAGTAAAAAAGTGACTTCCTGTTCTGAGGAGGCGGGGCTTTGATGATGTCAGAATATGACCACAGAGGATTGTTGGGTATCTAACAGGGATGACTCATGCCAAGTTTTGTGCATTTCTGTCTTTCAATGTGAAAGTTATAGAGTTTTGAAATTTATGGTGTAAAGTGCAACTTCGAGGCCTGGCCACGCCCCTTTAACATATAGGAAAACACAAGCTTTTGATAACTTTTCCTCCCCTATGTGTTAAGGGCATATTAATCAAGTTTGAAGGCAATCCTTCACAATCCCTTGGAGTTCGTTAAAATTCGCAATTAGAAACACCCCAAAATGACCCTCTGACCCAAAATGGCTGACTTCCTGTTGGTTTTGTACCAGGACTCCAAGAGACTTTTTCATAGGTCCTGAGATGATACAGATGTTCACCAGGTTTCAGAATTATCGATCAAAAAATGGCTTGGGGCTGAGGTTTTAAAATATTCTAGGGGGCGCTGTGGAAGCTATTGGCCAATTATCATGGATCCCTGCTCAAGGGGTGGATAATGATCGATCATACTGATTCTGGTGCACCTCGGTTCAAATCTGTGGAATTTAGAGCCAAACGTATGGCGATGGCGCAATGCCCTCATGCTCTACCCAAAACTGTCAGTGTTGGAAAGCAAATTACACCAACATGTCTTCAGTCACTGGACACACTATCATGCTGATTACGTAACAGGGGTCAGATAGGGACCGTTCAACTTAAAACTTTACAGTTCCTGTTGTCAGGGGGCATTGCTTAAGTGATGTCATGATTTGATCACTCAGTCTTGCAGGGGACTGGATGTGGATCAATCACTGAAGGTTTGATGTCTCAGCCAGTTTTTGTGTAGGAGCTATTAGTGTTTCGTTTTTCATGGCGAGATGTCAACCTTTGAGGTCTGGCCCTGCCCCTTCAACATGCTCCGAAACAAACCGTTTAGATAAATTTGCATCCCCCATGCCTTTTGAACAAAATGGCCAAGTTTGAAACTAATTGAACGAAATCCCTAGGAGGAGTTTGTTCAAATGCAGAGGCTGTTAACCGCCAAAAAGGTGAGAAATTTGGGACAGCATTCCAAAATGGCCGCCTTCCTGTTTATCGTACAACGTTGGTGCCAGAGGGTTTTCTGTGCATCTTGGGGAACTGGATAAGCGTACCAAATTTCATGTTTCTACGACAAACTAAGGTTAATGCGGAGGGTATTTTGAAAATTTCCAGATGGCGCTCTTGAGCCGTTTCAGTTGCAATTTTTGTGACGCCCTTAAAATACGTAAAATTTTTAGCAGTCCTGATATGTCCGCCAAATTTGGTGACTTTTGGGATATGTTAAGACTCCCAAAAAGCCAATTCATTTGCCAAAAAAATTGCAGCTCGGGCCTGAACGGAGCGATTACAATAGGCCTCTAAAAAAGTTAAATCTGGTCCTCTGGACATTAAAAAAAAAAACAACAAAGCAAAACAACAAAAAAATGTAGAAACGTTTCGTCTCTCATCCGAGAGACTTCCTCAGTCTGAGGTGCTGTATTCAGCTCAGTCTCTTAAATAGCACCTTCTCAGAGTGGATCAACCAGTTTACTGCTGCCAACCAAAACCAGCTGATCACATGCTCAAGAAGGACCATCAGCCTAACAATGGATCATTAGCACCTGATGGCTGTTTACTGTTCTCAGAGGGCTGAGTGATGCTAGCAATCACAGCATTGTAAGAGAGGGACAATTGAACACGGAGGCCGGAGATTACAATAGGCCTTCGTTCGCAGCGCTTCGCTGCTCGGGCCTAAATAGGTTGACTCCACATGATGGAGCATTGCCCTTTTTAGTTTACAAGTTCTTTTTTCTTACTACAAGTGGAAAGTCATGGCTTTTGAGGCACATTGTGTTTGTTTACAAATTTCTGTTTGCACTAAATGCATTATTACTGTTTTAAGCTAAGCAGAACAAAAGAAAGTTTAAGAACAATAAATTCTTTTTAGAAAGATTTTACTCTGGTAATTTTATTTGAACTCAAAATAAATTGTTAAATTGTGTAATAATTAACGTTCTATGAATATTTTTATCATTCAAAAACATGCATCCAATTAAATTCAGGGTCATTTTAGAGCAAGAAGAGCAGAGGGGGAGGGAGGGGTGAATCATCACGCTCCTGATCAAAAATAACACCAAGATTTTTAACATTAGAGCTGGAGGCCAGATTAATGCCATCCAAGGAGGGAGAAAGACTGAAGGTCCAAAAACTAAAACCTTGTCTGTATTCTTGTCTGTATTCAAAATCAGAAAATTTAGTGTCATCCAGGTTTATTTAAGACATGCTTGTAGTCCAAGTAGCTGATTTGATTCATTGGGTTTCATGGACAAATATTCATTCAACCTTTATTTATGCAGGTTAATCACATTGAGTCTCTAGGACTCATTTACAAGAGAGACCTGTAAAGTATTAATCAGAGAAATAGACCCCTGGAATGTTTCATGAAAGTGTTTTAAAGGGGAAAAACACGAAAACTCATTTTTATTTCATTTGACCTTTAAAATGAAGCGTTAACAACAAGTGTTGGCAATCTTTTCTGTTCTTACATATAATATATAAATATAATTTTGTGTATCAAATTTAAAAATAAAGGCTCTCTCTCTCTGTGTAGTACCTTTTTTGACCACTATTTCTCTATTTAAAATGACACAGTCTGGTAGGAATGTGCAGAAAGGAATCATCAAAATAGGTCAAGAGAACAGTCTGCAGTGAAGCAAGATGAAAAGACAAAAAGAAAACAGGGGGAAGGGACAACACGTCTCTAAAGAAGTCAACTGAATAGTATCCTGATGCATGCTCATTATTCCAGGTAGAAAAATCCAAAAAAGTTCAATCTGCTCCTCTGGACATTCAAAAAAACAAACAAAAAAAAAAAACAAAGCAAAAAAAAATATATATAGAAATGTTTAGTCTCTCATCTGAGAGACTTCCTCAGTCTGAGGTGCTGTATTCAGCTCAGTCTCTTAAATAGCACCGTCTCAGAGTGGATCAACCAGTTTGCTGCTGACAACCAGAACCAGCTGATCACATGATCAAGAATAGTGGTCAACTGAATAGTGGTGTATCCGAGTGGTGTCTTACTTTACTGTCATGGCTGACCAGAAGATGACTCACTATCTATGTAAACTTCTTCCTTTCTTTTTCTTTTTGACCATCTGTTATTTTATTTCAGTGTGCTGAGTTAATTAGGAAATAGTCCTTGGGTTGTTTGGGTTTAATCTGAAATTTATCTGGTGTCATATGTGTGTGTGTGTGTGTGGGGGGGGGGGGGTGTTACCATGGTGTTGACAGAAAGAGAAAAGAAGTAGGGTTGATCCTGAAGGAGGAGTTGGCAAAGAAAGTAGTAGAGGTGAAAAGAATATCAGATGCAGTGTTTCCCCTACCATTATACAAGCTGGGCGCCCCGCCCCGTCAACAGAACCGAGCGCCCCATCTACCGAAGCCCCCACCCCCAAACCACCTGTTGGCACTGACGTAACGCTAAACTATCGGCTCGTAATGCAGGTGAGATAGCTTAAAAGCTAAAGGCAGCCTCTTCCCTCACGCTGAACAACCCCCCGCCACTGGAAAACTGTCGGTACAAACAGCGCACGGCTGAGATGTGTGTCTGTCTCTCCTGGTGGTGGAACAGTGAAATGCAGGAAGTTATTCAAAGAAAGAGGTTAGTCAAGAGGAAATAAGACCGTTGACCTTGGGTCTGTCTCTGACCGGACAAAGATTTGTTTTATCTGCTCAAAGATGAGCAGTCCAGGGAACTACCCCTTAAGTGGAATCGTTTACTGCTTGCTTGCATATTTTAGACACTACGGTATCAACAGTTTAAACCAGTTATGACCTGAACAGGTGCACACATAGTTCATTATTGATCCAATGAGGTTGCACTCCACCCCAGGCTAAGGGCGAAGTCTAGAGTTGGAGAAAGCCGAGTTTCTCCGGGAGCTCGGCACTTGGTTTCTGGTTCCTGGTCGTGGCAGGTTGGACGAAGTCACAGCGCTGTAAACCAGTACCTTTTACCTGCCTTAATAGAAATTAAATGGCAAAACTTTATTCCTATCAGCCGTTATTCGTGTTGGCATGAGTCTTCTCTCCACCTGGGAAATAAACGAGCCGGCTTCAAATGTCATGGTCGAACGGCGACATTGGTACCTCACTTCAAGTTATCATGTACCTCATATTTCAAGTTAGCACACTCACAATATGCACAAAGGGTATTTCCAATTCCCCCTCTTCGGTCTACCATGGGGGACAAAATTATGCTTCTAGTGATTTGTGAGTGACTTACGATCATCAGGAACTTCGATGGATGCAGCTTCCTGCCCCAGTAGCAGCAGTAATGACATAAGTGTCAGGGCCGCAAGGTCACCCAGTCCGAACATTTCTCCCCCACCAGCCAGTCACTCTCAGCTCCCACCTCTGCTAATTGGTTCAACAGTTCTCCTGTGAATAAAGACACAAGGACAGACGATCAGGATGAAGATGGTGAAAAAGAATGTACAGCATGTAAGGCACGTGGGGGTATGTGTGTGGCTGCTTCAGCTCTGGCCTACATTCACAGCTGGGTTACTCTATGCTTCTCTAGAGACAGCAGTCTGTCTCAGACAGAGGGTGGTTACATGACTCTGAAGACCGCAAACAGATTTCACTCACAGCTGAAACAAGCAAGGGGCTTTAAAAACTTGTTATATCATTTATTTTTATCATTGTAAAAATACACAGAATAATTGTTTTGCCATCCATCCATTATTTTTACCCACTTTTTCCTTTTCAGGTTGCAGAGGTCACTGATACCCATATCAAGCAGTCATTGTGTGAGAGGTGGGGGACACCATGGACAGGTCTCCAGTCCATCACAGGGCAGTGGCGCTGGAACAGGGAGAGCCAGGGGGCACAGGCAAAACCTACAGTAGGGGTGCCCAATACCTCAATTGCGATCTACCGGTCGATCGCAAAGGCAATTTCAGTAGAGTGCATGGTGAAATAGACGTCAGATTTTATTTTTCTAAAAAGAATAATAAAAATTAATAGACATCAGCCTATCAATCTATCTTCATTATGCAATTCGTCACTTGATTGACACACAGGGCAGCCAATCTGAGGCCGACCTTTTTTTGACACATACATCACCACGCATGCGCATTCAACTGCGCTAAAAACAAACAAGTTGATTCGTAATAGTCTCCGGTTTATTTCTTCTAATCTAAACTCAAGAAAATGTGTAAAATGAGTTGGGGAGATGGACCAAGTACAAAGCAAAATACCTACCATTTCCATACAGAATGGCGGAGGACTTTTATTTTCACAATGTCATATTCGAAGCGCGTTTGCCTCATCTGCCAGTGTATTGGAGCTGCATTTTTGGACTATATTCATAAATACTACGGCATTTATTACAGCTGACCACAGCAGCAAAGCATCATTCCGGGTGAGTCACTTTAATAATTGCTAAGCACAAGAAGTCTTTTCAAGATGGAGAGATGGTAAAAGAGTCATTCATTGAAGCAGTAGACTCGTTGTTCAGAGACTAAAAACAAACCAGAAATATTATGGACTGTACTTATATAGCACCTTTAATCTTATTGAGATACTCAAAGTGCTTTACACTA